ACCAAATTTCAACCTATCTACCAGCTCCTGGTAGGCTGGGCAGGTGACTCCTGGCCTAATCTATCATCAAATTATTAGATACTCTTGGACAAGTGTTTTATCTTAATCACACACAATGCTAACTCAGGTTTACTTAATCATGGCATATTTATAAAAGCACAAGAGTCTGTAAAGCCATGACTTACAATCCATCTAACATAAAACAAGCCATGTTAGATCTACCATGATATTTGAACTCTGTTTTTCTCTCAGCTTATTGTGGGAGGATTCCCTTTATTCTTTTCTATATTGTTTACTCCCAATCCAAAGCAATTTTCAGCAATTGGAGGGAAAAAGCATTTTTTAAAATTCCATTGTATTAACACAATTAAAGTCTCAGGTTATGGAGACATTTTTCAGGAAGTATATAGATTACATAGCAGAAATAACTGATTACATACCAACTCTATAAAAAATCTGTATTTTTGCTAAAATGAAAGTGAAAGAATCAAAGCCTTTTTGGATATTTTAATTCTCTTATGTTTTTACATTCCTGAAAGATCAAAGAGTTAAAAGGATCCTCCATATTTTTTTTTACAATATATTTATTAGTAAAGGTCCAAACCAATGTTCCATTACAATGCACAGGTAGTCCTCGACTTACAACCATTTGTTAAGTGAGCGTTTGAAGTTACAATGTCACTGAAAAGAGTTAGTACTTACGACCATAGTAACATTCTCACAGTCACATGAGCTCATATTTATAGAATAGAATGGAATAGAATAACAGAGTTGGAAGGAACCTTGGAGGTCTTCTAGTCCAAGCTCCTACTTAGGCAGGAAACCCTACACCACTTCATACAAAAGGTTATCTAACATCTTCTTAAAAACGTCCAGTGTTGGAGCATTCACAAGTTCTGGAGGCAAATTGTTCCACTGATTAATTATTCTGTCAGGAATTTCTCCTTAGTTCTAGGTTGCTTCTCTCCTTGATTAGTTTCCACCCATTGCTTCTTATCGTACCCTCAGGTGCTTTGGAGAATAGCTTGAATAGCTTATAGTGGCTGCAGGATTCAATGAACTCTTATTTATGATGATTACAAGTTGCACAATTGCCATTTGTGACTTTCCCAGCTGGCTTCCAACAAGCAGAGTCAATGGGGGGAGGCTGGATTCACTTAATGACCATTTTATTCACTTAACAACTACAGCAAAAAAGTTGTAAAATTGAACATGAGCCACTTAACAACTGTCTTACTTAACAACAGAAATTTTGGTCTCAAATTTTGTGGTTGTAAGTCATGAACTACCTGTAAGAGCAATAGCATTTAGATTTATATACCACTTCACAGTGCTTTACAGCCCTCTCTAAGCGATTTTACAGGATCAGCATATTGCCCCCAATAATCTGGGTCCTCATTTTACCCACCTCGGAAGGATGGAAGGCTGAATCAACCTTGAGCTGGTGAGAATTGAACTGCTGAACTACTGGCAGCTGGCAGTCAGCAGAAGTAGCTTGCAATACTGCATTATAACCACTGCATCATAACGGCTCTCATCATATTACTACTTTGCTGTATAGTTTATATCTTTTGTGAATAAAGGGGGGTTTTTTAGCAACAAAGTTAGATTCCCTCTCCCCAATATAATTTTCTGTAGATATCATATTTCATCTTATATTTTTCTACTAATTGACATACTCTATATACTTTTTACCTATAGTTGAAAGTTACAAGGGGAGAGCAATACTCCTGTCTTCTAATACCTGTACAGCTGCTAGTATCTGTTAAATATTTTATCATTTTTAATTAACAAAACAGTGGGACCTGGGACTATTCATGCTGACCTATGTTACACAGGTACATACAAAGCCTATGGAGAGACCATATACAGGGAATTTCTTAATTCATTGGCTTTATAGAAATGCCTTATAATTTGGACACTATATTAAATTGATAGAGATTAGACTGGGCCGGAAAAATACATTATTTATTTATCCTTTCCTCCTCATAAGTACACACCCATGTGCATCAAATACATTTACTTCTGCTGGAAATCTCCAAATAGGTAAGAAGTGAGTTTTTTTTTTTTTGCTGCTGGCTTCATCCATATTTATGTTTTATGTACAAATAAAAATAAGGGAGTATCTTGTTTCTAATAGTAAAAGAGATATGCTGAAAAGTTTTGCTAATCTGTCTCTCTTCTTCTCAATTAATCCGAAGCCAAATGTGTGTTGGGAACTAAAATAAGATGGCTGGAAAAATGGACTGAAGGGAGAAATAGAAAGGAAAAAGCAGCTGGTTTGCTATCCATTTCCTATGTGTTCATTGCTTCCAGCCTCTTTTATATACATGAACAGAAATATACGCCCACTGCAGTTACATACACTTCATTCATAATTAATAAGCAATTGAGAGTTATGGTATAATGATTAAGGAATCAGGCTAGAAAGCAGAAGACCATGAATTCTAATTTCATCTTCAACATAAAGCCAGCTGAGTGACCTTGGATCAGTCATTCTCTCTCAACCCTAGGAATCAGAAGGCAATGCCAAACCACTTTCAAAGCCTACACTGGTACACTTTCAAAAATGTTCCCAAAAAACCCTGTAGAGACTATTCTTCAGGAGTTAAGATTGATTTGAAGGCACCAAAACCAGACAAACAAAACCCCCACACATTAAATCTGATACTGCATCGTCTTTGTTGTTAGATCATATATTACATTCTTGTTTAATTTGTACACAGATTGTATTATTTGTTTCTTACAGCAACTTTATAGCACCGCCTCCCCAACAACTCTAGGTGATTTTCAGAAAGCCAATATAAAGCCATAAAATCAATCCTCATCCCAAGAACCTGGCATACAGACAGCAACGTCTACTGCTGTTCAACAATTATCACCTAAAAGTCTTGTGCAGTAAATGTTTTCATTGCTTTCTAAAGATCTGTTAGGGAAGGACACCATCAGATTTACAAGGATTTCCATTTCCAGTCCATTCCAAAGTGCTTGGCATAACCTAACCTGAGAAAGCATGTTCTAGCTTCCTCCCTTTGATCTCTTATAGGGGTGCCATTTCAAGTTCCTCATTTGGAATGAATGAACTGGATGCGTCATGTTCTTTCTGAACTATGTGTCCTGCAGTAACCCAAACACCAAGCCATTGGTCAAACTTTCACATGGCAGACCTGATATTACAGATTACCCTACTACTTTCTTGGACTCTATACTGTAATGACTGACAATTAAGGCATCTATGAGCCTTTCTGTCATAGAAAGCCCTACTAACTGCAATGGAACTCACTTCTAAGTTTGGTATCCAGTGGAATTGCCTTTGCCATCTAGAAAAGAATTAGTTCTTTTTCTGACAGGATCCCTGGCTCTGTGTTTTCTTACATCTGTCTTCAATTATAATTTAGTCTTCATCAAGCCTACTTGGAGAAATCCAAATATTGCTGAAATCACTGATTGTTAATGTATGTTGGTTCCTCCCCCCCGCCTTTTAAAGTGAGAAACCCTTCTCTTTGTGCTATTGCCCAATCAGTAATACTCTTTGAAACAGCCTAACCCATTTCGTACTTTGTAAACCATTTGAATGATTAAAATTCCTATTTCATCTGCTTCTTTATTCCATCATCTTCTCTTTCTCTTCTCACTGTCACCAGGTTTAGTTCACACAGAAATCCAGGTATTCTTGTCCTTCCACAAACTGGTTTTGCCATGGAAGTCTTCTGCTTTTGTTTGTTTTGCTTACCCAAGCAAGGGAATTCTACACCTAGAACTAATAATAATGTGCTGGGAATAAGCTTGTTTCCATAGAAACCAAGATGGTGTCAAACAGATGCAATGGCACTTCCACAATTTAGGAACGAGGCACATACCAGCTAGATAATGGACTGCATGATCTCTGGAGAGAAAGAAGGGTGAATTAGTGTTTTGATTTCCAAAAGTCACAGGGTATAATCTGTGTTTTGAGTTTCTAACTTGCATTTGATCTGTAAAACAGCTGTAATCTTCTTTTGGAACTATAAAAAAACATGCTGAGAATTTTGCAGTGAATTAAGAGTTGCAGGTTGTCGTATTGAAAGTATCATTGAAGGCAGGGGTGTGTTCTACTTACCTTTACTACCGGTTCGCATTGGGAGCGTGCGCAGAAGCTTCTGCGCATGCGCAGATCACCTATGATGATGTCCGGGTTGGTGGGCAGAGCTTCCCACCGGTTTTACTACCAGTTCTTGTGAACCAGTTTGAACCAGGGGCAACCCACCACTGATTGAAGGGCATATCTTTTGCAGTATTAGTAGTATCTTTAACTAGTCTATTAATGATCTGATTGATGTTTACACTAGTCTGATAACTTCATTTTAATCCCATTCAGATGGTGAATGTATAGCACAGCCAGTGGTTGATATTTGCATTTAGTTTAAATCTTTTGAGATGTATCTGGTCTAAGAAATTAAATCAGCATGCTTGTTATGGGTGATAACTGTTTTTTTTTTTTAATGAATTGTTGATTACCATATTCTCCCCAAATAATAGACTGCCCAGCTCTCAACCTAAAGAAATTCCTTAAGAAAAGTGAATTTGTTTGTAAGCTTCAGTTAGATAGAGACATTGCACAGACAGATACTGTTTCTCATTTAGTTTTATGTCCTGGCTTGGATTACATGAATTGCTTTCAGATTATTATGAGCCATGCAAGAATTTACAACATGGAACAAGTTGTAAAGAAGTTGTGAACAGCTTGGCTTTCCAAGCTTTCTTAACTGTCCTCAGATTATATTGACAGGATTAATGTGTTCAGTCACTTTTCCCGGGAGCAGTGTCATGTCTCCAGAGAGTAACTTTTACTATGTCTGGGTGGGATCAGAACTGTGCAGAAAACTAATATTTCTTCAGCAGGCAGTAAGATTTTAGATGATGATACTAAACTAATGAATATTTCTCATATACCTGAAAAAAAACTCCCCAGCATCTTTTGAATTGCTTTTATTCATTTATATTATACAGAACAGAAGCATACCAAAATTCTTCCGGAGATTTACAGACAATAAAAAGTTGCCCTGCAGAGAAATGTAAGAGTTTACATTCAATTTGAGGAAGGAAAATCTGCTTTAGAAAATATTTCAGGGAAGAAAAGGATTTTAGAAAAAAATTCTGCGCATGGAACTTGTCGGGATAATTGAGAGGTATTTTCATTATCAATTATCCAGCAATGTGCAGTCTCACTACATTCTTGTATTTCAGTCAAATCCCAAGGAAAGACATTCTAAGCTAATCCGTTCACTTTTCTGACCAGATTGGGAAGTATTGACAACCATAGAGATTTTGGGATGGTCAAAAAAAAGGTGTAATACTAACATTCTATGCTGGCTGGAGAATTCTGGGAGTTGAAGTCCACTAGTCTTAAGGTTGCCAGGTTTGAAGACCTCTATTCTAGAGGAAAGAGCTTTCATCACTTTCAGCTCTAAAATAAGCTTAGAAACCCCACCAAAATCAATTTAAGATAAATGTCTATGTTCTGTGAAAATTAGGCAAATAGCACAAGAAGTTATAAGAAAACACTTCTGAGAAATTGCAAGGTGGATTCAAAATAGCTTTTAAACAGATGAATTTCATTTTCCTCCTTTGCTTCCACCAAAAATCTGATCCACCAGTTGATAATATTAACTGAAAAGATAAACTACAAAACTATTGGCAACACCCTCCCCCTGAGCCTGGTGGCTCAGCAGACTGATAGCATTGGGATTAACACTAGCTGTCTGCAATTACTGTAAGTTCGAATCTCACCAGGCTCAAGGTTGACTCAGCCTTCCATCCTTTCTAAGGTAGGTAAATTGAGGACCCAGTTTGTGGGGGCAATAAGCTGACTTTGTATAAATATACAAAAGTATGAAGGCTATTGCTTAATGCATTGTAAGCCGCCCTGAGTCTCTGGAGAAGGGTGGCATATAAATCAAATTTTTTTTAAAAAAATTATATACATTCTTAAAATAAGGAGTGGTCTAAAGTCTGCTGTCTTTTTTCCAAGGTGAGATATGCATTTGGCCTTTGATTGGCTGAGCGAAGGATACACATCAAAAATGGCCAGGGCGAGTTGGTCGCATCAAGTTGTCCTAGATCAGGGGTGTCAAACCCGTGTCATCACAGAGTCATCATGTGACATATCAGGACTTTTTCCCCCTTTGCTAAACTGGGTGTGGACATGGCCAGCACATGATGTATCTGGCACACGGGCTGCGAGTTTGACAGCCCTGTCCTAGACCCTTTTAAATGATAGCCATTCCAGCTGGATTTTCCTTCTATGTATCTCTTCATTTTTATATGCATAGATTCTTCCATGCAAATAATGATGAATGTGCAGATAGACGATCTTCTGATCAATATTCATATTCTATTTGATGTAGCATTATGATCTCATACCAGGGGTGAAATCCAGGTTCTGGAGAAACGGTAGCGGAAATTTTGAGCAGTTTGGAAAACCGGTAGCAGAAATTTTGAGTTGTTCAGAGAAGTGGCAGATACCACCTCTGACTGGCCCCAGAGTGGGGTGGGAATGGAGATTTTGTAGTATCCTTCCCCTGGAGTGGGGTGGGAATGGAGATTTTGCAGTATCCTTCCCCTACCAGTCCCACCAAGCCACGCCCACAGAACCGGTAGTAAAAAAAATTGGATTTCACCACTGTCTCATACGTAGAGATATTTCTATTGCTGGATAAAAGACTTCTTCACAGATTGGACATTAAGTGAATGCTTGGCCATAGTTATCCATGTCATGTTCACATTCTATACAGATATTGGAAACACATCTGATAGTACCCTTAGAAACACTATTTAAATGCTAAAGTCCCCCCGCCCCCAAAAATAGGTCCTCTAAGTTGCCCACAGGCAAGTTGTCCCATTCTGCATTTAAATGTTGGATGAATGTAGCAAATACATTTAATTCCTCAAGCAGAGGTAGAACTGGGACCATATTCACATGAGCTCACATGCCGCGTGGTAAGGATATGATAGCTGGAAGTCAGAAGACTAAGACTGGTGGAAGAAGCCACCAGTGATAAAATCTGCCCTAAAATAATGAGGCATGCCAACCCCAGTAATCTACACCAACGGATTCGTGCCATTTCCACCAGCTTAAATTGAATAGTTATCTTCTAAAGTCTAAAAGTGTGAGCAAAGATTAATACTGCCTTCATATTGTGAAGATTATACAGCAAGAGCTAAGATTAATATTTCTAATACATACCTTCGTTTTTTTCTATAGGGCTATAGAAGATCCATTAGCAAAGGACACCAGAGAAACAGAGGAGAATTAGATGTGTGTTGCAAGAAATGATTTTTTTTTTGCTTGATCTACAAATTCTATACATCAGTTTTAATTTTCTATTCAAATGTCTTTGAGCATAAAAAAAAATATCGCTGAATTCTATCATTCCAAAAACTAGTTGAATCCATGTCCATTCAAAGTAGATCACAACTCTTTCCCTTTTAATTTCCAGAAACTTTACAAGGGCATTCTAAATATCCACCATTTTATCTACAATCTACCTTTTATTTTAACAGAATACTGTATTACAAGTATTAAGCAAAAGAAATGAGGAATGTTCAAACACCAGTTCATTAGTTAGACAAGGTCTGTTAGAAAACTACTTTATATTTTCTGCTTTCGATTCTGTAAGCACTAACAATATTTTGTTTGGGCAGCTATTTAATAATGAAAAGGCAAGTATATTCTCATATGCCATGCAGTTCTCTATCGTAGCGTTTGGTCATGTGGCTTGAGCTTAATTTTTATTGATGGAGCTGGTGGGTGGCAGAGAGAGAGATGGCACTGCAGTAGTGGAAGGAAGACAGCATTCAGAGTATTGAAACCCCTGCAGCTGAACCTCACAATGAGATCAGAAACAGAGCTGTGAACATTGCTTGGCATTAATGTAGCCAATGTGTCTTGCTGTGGCCTGATGAAACTTTATTAAATTTTGGCATGCTCTCAGACTCTTCCATCTCAGAATGAAGCTGCTTTGAGCCAAGTTTACATTCTTCATGAAAGGTCTGTACAGCCCTCATTCTAAAATCTGTTAAGAAAAGATGGATAACAACCACTGTCCCCCTTCTGATGTTACATGGACAAGCTACATACTAGTGTTGCATATGTTTTCTGTGCTTTGTTTTTCTTTGCAAGTCTGGTGCTGTTTAGCAAACTGCTGGGAAATGTGATAACACTGAGGAAGCCAGGGCTCCTTGAAATCTTCTGAGTATTTGTCTGGTTCCCAGGTTGCTTGCTAGGAAGAAGGATACCAGCTCTTCGAAAGGATAGAGTGGGATCTCTGTAGTCCTTTAGCTGTGTATTTCCAACCCTTACTTTGCCATAAATCATAGGGACATCTGTGCCAAAGAGTGGTGTACATCTGTAAATAAATCAGTGATGTCATATGACTCTTGTGAGTATGTATAAATCTACCACATGTTCCTTCAATTTGGGGAAATGCAGACAATTATAATGGACTTGCAGACAAAATCCTACTATTTACTGAAAAGGACCTGTACTGAAAGACTTGTACCTTAATTAAGCAGAGTATAATTTGGGAGATGTGCTGCTTGTGGTTGAAGACTGGAATGCCACAGCTGAAAATAGTAAGAATTAAAATGTACTGTAGATGGATTGTATGCCTATGAAACAAATAAAGCAAGAGAACAACTCACCAGTTTCTGCTAATCCGGTGATTCCTTTATCACTAAATGTTCTTTAAAAATATGTCTATATATGTAGACATCTCTGAATAGATCACGTAGAAATCATATTCAACGTGTAATTGGTACAAGGAGGCTGGGGGACTCAGTTTTAATAGTAAGGATATAGCAGGGGGCTCATTGTGGAGTAGTTCATGAACTGCTCATGTGGAAATTTCAAATCAATCTAAAACAGATGAACAAAGTTAAATTGGTTTTCATGATACAATCTTGAGCATCTGCCTATCTACTGTGAACCTCTGTAGGAACTGGAAAAAATGTGCAATGTAATCTAAGCAGTTATTAAGGATGGATATAAAAAGAAGCTGTCAAAAACCAGAAACAGAATGGAACAGTGAATTGAATGTCAGAACAGATAGTGGAAATAGCCAAGCAGAAATGAGAAGTTAATTCCAAGAATGACAAAAACTCAGAATTTTTTTTTTATTTGATTTATATAGCGCCCTACTCCTGAAGGACTCAGGGCAGTGAACAGCAACAAGATAAAACACATAAATACAAAATTTAAAAGCAAAGTAAAACCGAGTTAAACAATTTGGCCCAAGACAGATTTAAAACACCCCAATAATTTAAAACAGATTAAAATTTACATTTTAAAAAGGGAAAAAAGGGAAAAGATTAGGCCAGGCCAGCCTGATGGAATAAAAAGGTCTTAAGAGCGCGGTGGAAGGTGCGCAGATCCGGGATCCTCCGTATCTCCGGGGGAAGCTCATTCCAGATAGTAGGTGCCCCCACAGAGAAGGCTCTCCCCCTGGGGGCCGCCAGTTGACATTGTTTGGCCAACGGCACCCGGAGGAGCCCCTCTCTATGAGAGCATACTGGCCGGTGGGAGGCTATTGGTGGCAGCAGGCGGTCCCGTAGGTAACCAGGTCCTAAGCAATGGCGTGCTCTAAAGGTGGTAACCAAAACCTTGAAGCGCACCCGGAAGACCGCCGGGAGCCAGAAATAAGCTTAACAAAGAATTTCAGAGGGCTGTTAGAGGAGGCAAAAAACCAGCATTAAAACATCTGTAAAGACATTAAAGTTAAAAAAGATGAGGTAAATCTTCCAAAATATCTCTAAAATCAGAAGATACCAACTGGTATCATAGAAGACCCCAATGGACAGATAACTGATTTCAAGAATATCAAACAAAGATGGAAGAAGTATATTGAAACTTTGTACAATAGAGATGTATTTTGCAGATATTTTCTATTTACTTCTAGTACTAGAAAAAGTAATATTTCACCATTGTGGTAATTATCACATTGGAAGACTACAGGAATTGTGTTTACAATTGCAGACTAGCACTGTAATACAATAAAGAAAGAAAAGGTATTCAAATGTTGTGTCATGTCTGTGTTTACAATGATCAGAAACACCCAGGCATTGTTTTTCCTTGTAACACTTCATGGATGTGAAAGTCGGACTTTGAAGAATATAAAGGGTACTGAAGCTTTTGAACTTTGGTGTTGGAGAAGACTCTTCAGAATGTCATAAATAGCCAAGCAAACAAACAAACAAACAAATGGATCATATAGCAGATGCATCCAGAGTTGTCTCTCAAGGAACAAATGTTCAGTCTCAAATTACTATATTCTAAACATATTAGATTAAAACCTATTTCCCTTGAGAAGTCCATAATGCTGAGAATGGCAGAATTAAAAAGAAGAGGACAATCAGCACCAAATTGGGTGGACTGAATTGCAATGGTGGATGAATTTTTGGAGATCCATAGAGAAAAAGGAAGATGACCTTGACAGAGATATGCAAGATCTGTTGCCAGGATGATAGGGTGAAAAATATTTTAGTCCCCAATGGCCAGACACGCCTAAAAGTGGGCAGGGTACAGACAATCAGATTTGCAAGATTCTGCTAGTGTGGCCAATCTCAATAACAGTAATTTTAGCCTTCTTTGGGAATTTATTTCTTGGTCTGGCCTACCTAATAGGGCTGATAGATCTGAAGGGATGAACTGGGAACAGATTTGAGAAGGTCTTTCAATATATTGACTAAGAATTGAAATGGATTTGATGAAACTGGCATACTTACTCAATCAATATATGAGGACCCAGTTTGTGGAGGCAATGAGCTGACTTTGTATAAAATATACAAAAGTATGAAGGCTATTGCTTAACGCACTGTAAGCCGCCCTGAGTCTCCCAAGTGAAGAAAAAAAATAGGGCCAAAGCTATATTCAAGTTTATTGACTGCTCCTTTCTCTCTCCATGTTGCACAAAACTGGGAAAGTCCCCTTAAAACAAATAGCACCCTTAAAAAAACAAAACAAAAAATAAAAATGCAACTATCTCATTGTTCTAATGGACTCAATGTTTTCAATATCTGGCAGTTTACAGGAAGGGTATTATAATGTTCTCCTTCCTAGCTGCTGTGCTTTGAAAATTGTGTGCATACTTAAATTCTCATATGTTGATGGTAGAAGAAAAAAACTCCTTTGTGTGATTAAAACAGTTTTCTATACTAAATTCAAAGTAGGGGTGAAGAATGAGAAAGGAGAGTGGTTAAAACGTCAAGATGGCAGCCACGTTCATTTGATTGAACCTAGTCCTTCTTTTTAATATACAGGGCTTTGATCATGCAGCTACAGCCCCATCTTGACATTTTGACTCCTGCCTCCACAAATGCCCATGAAGAGGAGACTATGAGCTACATCTTGCCCACAAACTGGAACTTCTCCACTCCAAAAAGACAAAGAAAAAGACACCATCAGACCCAGGGCAGGAAAAGAATTAGTTCTGAGCAGTCTCTGGGCTGCTGTTCCAGGATATAATATGAAGGGCATAGAGATTTTGTTTCTAGAAATGCTTGGCTATTTGCTTCTGTCTATGAACTTTCCTAGCTGCAATACTATGTTGGTATGTAAATAATTCAAGTCTCCAGTAATCTCTCTTCCAGGTGAAAGCAAACATAGGCGAGATGTTCTTTGGCACTTCTTATATCCTATTGCAATATCCCATCTCAGTTTTTTTTAAAAAGACATTCACTAGTATTTATATCAGTATATATTTTCAACAACAACAAGATAAATGACTAAATTGAAGTAGAAGGTTAAGTCAAATGTACTGTGTGTATTTCTTAAGAAATACTTGGATAATTAAAGGTTGTACATTTTATTACTGTAAAATGTTTGGATAATCCCATCTTTCCTAGATAGCTGGCCGGACCATGTTTCCCAGAATTTGTTCCAGTGGATAATGGTGATACAGCCCTCTGAATTGTTCACCTTATTGAACAAACATAGTATGTTTTGTTAGTTTATGTTTCAGTGTGTTTGCATGGACTGAGAAAATTAAATTGTGTGAATTATGGTTCAGTCAGCCATGACAGAATGAATCCTATAAAAACAACCTGTTTATTTATCCCAATTATGTGTTTATCTATTCTGTTGTGCCAATTTTTATTTAGAAGAATTATAACGTGATTTGTTATAATTTTGAGGTTGACAAAGACTCCCAACGTATGCATCTCGCCCTAAGCTATTCTGAAATCTAGACTTTCTGCTGTTGTCTACCCAGGTTAAAATGGCAATTTACTTCTCTTTCCAGATCATTTAGCCATGGTGACAACAGCTTCGTCAATTGATGTGTCCAATTGAGTGAGACTAAGAAACTTCTCTCTTTTTTTCTTGTGAAGGTGCTGAAGGGGAAATAAATTGTCTTTTCTTCACCCACATCCTGTTATTGGGTTTGGGGGATTTGTTAGTTTTTTTCTTTTTTCTTTTTTTGTTTCATTTTTAAACCACCCAGAGTCTTGTTAAAACTAAGCAACATAGAAATTGTAAACATAGACAAACGGATTTCTTTCAAATGAAGAGTTGCACTTCTTTGAAAACAGGAAAGGCAAAACAAAGAGCAGAGAGGTCAGGTCACTGTCCTGAAGTCATTAGAATCAACAGTCTCGGAGTGCTGAGACTTTCAGGTTCATTAGTCAGAACCTTGACAATGATTCCATATCTCTGTTAAATAGGCACATCTCTCAAAAGGTCCTGTAAACATCAGTTCTTACAGAGATTTTGCAAGTTATCCAGCTTCTGGATTTATTTCAAGGTGCTGCTTTTGGTCTTTCTAATATTTTGTGGTTTGGATGTAGATTTCCTGGTGAAAATATTCCCATCTATACTCCCTTAGTGACAAACTTGTGCTGTGAGTGTCACCCCATCCCCTCCTTGAATGAAATGTCCTGAAGTTACCCAGTCTTTTTCCAAGGCCAAGAGTGGGCCCAAAGCTAACTCTCTACAGTTCTGATTTAACTTTTTAACCTGCACCACCACACTGCTGTTTGTATATTTTATTCTCATCACTAAACCAGTTTGTGTTTTTAACCTCTGTATGTGTTTGAACTTAGCTTTGATTTCTCACATTTTTCTCAAGTTTTCAAACCATAAGACACTCCGAAGTATAAGATGCACCTAGCTTTTGGGGAAAAAACCAAGGGGGAGGGGGGAAATCTGTCTCTGCCTTCCAGCAATTTACCTCCTTAGAGCAAACAGCAAAAGCCTCGTCAGCTTCAGCACAGCCTGATTTAGTACAAGCAGCTGATTGATGGTTGGATCCGCCTCCTGGAATACCACCTATCAGCTGTTCCAGGCTGCGGGGATCACCACTGCCCATCACCACCACCAATCACTGCTGCCACCTATCGCCACCTCCGTGCCCCATTTTCAGCCTCCATGTGCCCCGTTTTCAGCCCCACATGTCCCATTTTTGACGTGTTCCAGGCAGCGGAGATCGCTGCCACAGTCACCTATCCCCACCGCCTGGAACGGGCTGAAAACGGGACTTGTGGAGGCCAAAACGGGGCACGTGGAGCCAAAAATGGGGCATGTAGAGGCAGCGATAGGCAGCAGCAGCGATGGGCAGCAACAGCAGCGATGGGTAGTGGTGATCCCTGCAGCCTGGAACAGCTGATAGGTGGCATTTCGGGAGGCCGATCCAACCGCCAATCAGCTGTTTGTGCTAAATCAAGCTGTGCTGAAGCTGACCAGGCTGTTTGCTGCAAGGAGGTAAATTGCCGGGAGGCAGAGGCTGAAGGGTGGGGGCCAGCGGGTGGGCAGGGTTTTGGCAACTTTCGCTGTATAAGACGCACAGACATTTCCACCCACTTTTTTGGGGGAGGAAATGCATCTTATACACTTAAAAATACAGCATATGTTTAATGTCAGTGCATCCTTAAACTGCTACTAGACTATTATTTATTTTTTAAAAACCTTTTACTAAAACTACGAATGTGCAAGATATCTTTTAATTATGTTATATCCCTGTTGAAATTTGCCTCTAATGCCTTGGAGACCTAACTGAGCTCATTGTTTTTCTAACAATAATGATAAATTAGAAGGATTGCTTTTATGACTCATCTTTTATAATATACAACAGAACAACAAACAATAGTAGCAGTCAAGCTGTGGGAATTTTGCACATTCCATGTATGAAGTCCTTTCCAGACTGTTGGTGCCTCTGAAGTGCTACTTGAGTTTCTGCATCACTCAATTATTAAGAATATTGTCTGGATTATACCTTTGAATCAGGTCTGCTGCAGTATCTCTCCAATTATTGATTCCTACAGTTGATGTAAAGCTGAGGAAACCATATTACCAGAGAAAGGACATTTGAGTGGAGTTTTGTTTTGTTTGTGGATTTAATCTGAGACTAAAGTCATATTTCTGAATCTTCAAAAATAGCAAGGCCCTAGTGATGTAAAGAGTAAAGAAGATGAAGTTGAGGGAGCTAGGCAATTGTTATCACCAAAGTGACAACGCATAAAACATGCCTTAAGTCCACAAGAGATAAAATTTGGAAGATGCTCAGTTAGACAACTCTCTAATTAAGAGAAGTACAACCATGAGTGAATGGGAGATGGAGGAGATAACATTTGCAAGGTTCTGTTATTACAGCCAATCTCAATGAAAATAGTTGTAACCTTCCTGTGGAATTGATTTCCTAATTAATTTACTTGAGGCTGACAGGTATAGCTATGGGAAATCTGCCTTATGAGATAGAGCATAGCTGCTGGATTCATCTCACAATTAGGGTGTGTTTGTTCTCACAGTGATATAAAAACTAAAACCAACTTATATAAAGATGTCATTAATGTATGTGAATTGAGACACTTGCCAGATAAGGAATTCAATGATAGGTTAAAAAGTGAAATAACCATGATGATTTACAGCATTTTTGGAAGAATGAGGCCAAAAAAAAGTCAATCTATTTATTTACCTGTTTCAGAAAAAGGGGAAAGTGGAATACGGCTACTTGGAAACTCCCAGGAGAAATTAAAACCTCCCCTGACTTCTTTTTGTCTCAAAAACACAGTTTTAGTCTTTGATCTGAAAGTGATAATTGTCTAGGATGACATATAATTTTCCATCTCGAGGCTCATGGAGATGACAATAGGAAAATGAGGGAAGGCAGTGCATTTCTTAGGAAGTCCTGAGCCTAGTCCAGCCATACATCCCACCTATCTGAATATAGGTCACAAACGGAATTTAGAATAGAGGGTTGTCCTGGGTCTTTGATGTCTGCCAGAAGGAAATAGGAAGATATTAAAATGCAGGAAAATAGCACAATGGAGAGCAGGGCAGAGAGGCTAGCAGTATTTTGAATTCTGTCTGTCTCTAATATCCTTGAAAATTTCAGCATTATGTCCTATAGCCTCATTCAGAAGGAAAACCAACATCATAAATTTTATCTCTCTAGCAGCTCCATTATTGCAATGTGAAATGCTTAATAGAATGTAAGCCGCTTATAGCTCTATGAATTCACATCCAGGCATGATATAGAGATCCTCTCTGTGTTCTCTAATCTAATGCAAGCAGCCTAACCAATATGGATAGGCATTTTGATAAAAAGATAGTCATCGTTGCTTTATGTTATTGCTCTTTTAAGAAGAAAGCAAGATGAAATGAGTTTGGTCTCAAAAGACAAGGCAGTGATTAGCAAAAAAGTTCACAAAAAAACCAGTGACAAGTGGCTGAATGTTGAGCACATGAAAGGATATTTATCTAACTGAGAGTTGGGATCAAGCATTGAGCAGTCATATTGTTCAGCAAAGGGACAAATGGGATAATGGTTATGAAAGATCAACTACAAAGCCACAAGTCTATAGAACAAACGTAATAAGTCACTGGTGGCTCCCAAGAATTGTGCAGTGAGTAGCAATCAAAATTAATAAGACAACTTTCAAGAAATGTCCCTATATCAAAAATAAAGAATTGGGATCTATCTACTTGCATGATTTGATTCCTGACTTCTGGCTACTAAAGAATGATACTAAAACTGTGTTCCTCGGCTATCAAAAGGCAAGCATTATTCAAGATCACAAGGAATTGGAAAGAGAACTTCAGTAGCTCTGTTATCTTGAGGCATAATTATTTTAGGATTGGACCACGTTCTCCATTCAGGTTAGGCAGAATTCATTCTTGCAAGTTATCTGATCAAGGCAGTGAGATGGTCCTCAGACAGTCACTGGCATATCTGAAACCCTCCGTTTTCTGATATTTCAAAGACATTTTACAGGTAGCCCTCAATTTACAACCATACATTTAGTGACCGTTTGAAGTTACAACAGCACTGAAAAAAGTGACTTATGACTCATAAGTCACTTTTTTCATTATGACTGTTTTTCAGACTTATGACCATTGCAGCATCCCCGTGGTCACATGATCAAAATTAAGATGCTTGGCAATTGGATCATATTTATGACAATTGTAGTGTCTCAGGGTCATGTAATCAACTTTTGAGACCTTCTGACAAGCAAAAGTTATTTGGGAAGTCAGATTCACTTAACAACAGTGTTACTAACTGAATAATTGCATTATTCACTTAATACCTGTGGCAAGAAAGGTCATAAAATAAGTCCTAATTCACTTGACAACTGTTTTGCTTAGCAACAGAAATTTTAGGTTCAGTTGTGGTTGTAAGTCAAGGACTATCTGTATATGAAACTAAAAGGTGATTAGTTTATCATCATTTTCCTTGAAGCTGCCTTTAATTCTTTGCTCATCTAGATAATCTTTTTAAAAAATTTGGCATATTAGGCAGAATACTAAGGTGGAGCTTAAACAAAGGCCAAATATAAGGTTTGTACATTTAAACATAGCTAATGTTCTCAGTTACATCAGTAAAAAGAAAACATGTTCTTACATTTTCTTGTGAATTAATGCAAAGACACTGGTATGCTGAAAACAAACAAGACAAATTTAAGTTCAGTTGAACATGTCTAGCTGTTTGCCATCAGATTATGCTCTTCACCATTCACCATTAACATTTTTTCTCCTTTTCATCAAATATAAAGCAATAATAATGATATTGCAGTACAAGAAGTGAAGGAAACCTTAACTAAAAATGGACTTTTATATATTATAAATTAAAAAAAAAACTTTTTATTAAAAAGAAAAGAAGTGAAGGAACTGAAGGAAATTATGAAATATAAAAACCTGCAAACAGAAGTAGAATGTCTGTGGCAAAAGAAAGCAAATATAGTACTATTACAATAATAATAGGCACCTTGGGTGCAATTTGACCCCAAAACTGGAACACTTGAACATCATCGGCATTGACAAAATTACTATCAGTCAATTGCAAAAGGCGAAGTTGGAACAGCATATATCCTATGATGGTACTTTTAACACTGTCAAACTACAACATCTACCTGTCTCAGCTCCTTGGGAAGGACTCAATAGATGGATAAAAATGCCAAATCTAGTCTAAACTTCTTGCTACAACCAACCATAATGTACTAAACTTATATGTCATCTAATTCTAAATAAATCTGGGCAACTCACAGCAATCAAAGAAATTACAATGGAGTAATAAAACATGAAAGAAAAATGTTCTTTTAAACAGGAGGATTATTGGATTTCAAGGGGAATCTCACTATAGAAGGCTACGCTTCTGGGGTCCTAATGGATGTAATGGAATGTAGGAATAACCTTGAGGAACAAAGGGAAGAACCATAACCAAGGCAACAGTCAGAGAAAAGAAACCTGAGTCCAGGGCAGAAATGTAATTTGAGTAAGAGTCCCAGATATGACTTTCCCTAATTCTCATGAAAATAAAAGGGGGGGGAGAACCATATTGACTTGCAATAAAGTAGTATTAGAATTCATAATTCTGCTGTCTCAATTTGGTCTACCTTGAAGGGCTGACAATAGTTTAATCAAAGAAACCCAGATCACATCAACTCTACGGGATCAAACTGGCCAGACAAACATTGTGAGAGCAGGCGGTATCTACTTTTTATCTACTTTTACTCATTGTGGTTATGCTTAAGCGAAATGGAATCTGATTTGGTTTGGGCTCCTTTCTTATATCAAGAAATGCCTGGAACTCATGTTCAGTCTAGAAGATCTGGGCAGACTGCTGTGATTGCACAGCTTGGTGTATTTAGCATGGAATAGAAAACATGACCCATCTGATAAATATAGCTATTTATCTTCAGTTTTCTTCTCCTCTTCCCCAACCCCCTTTTTTTTAAGAGAGAACACAGATACCTTCTGTACATTTGGATATTTGGAAAGCAATTACCAGCCAAGTAATTGAGTGGGCACTGTGTTTAATTATAGTACATACTTAAGGAGCCTAATAGAATAATTGAGATGTTTCATTTTTCTATGATGAAAGAAACCAATTTTTATCTTTCTCGAGATGAAAAGTTTCAAAACAAAGAGGCATTGAGGAAGGCTATCAATCACTAGCCTTTTGCCCAAGGATCTTGTACAATATTTCTTTTGTGCCCTGATCTGTAGGAGAGTGTCTCTCCAGAGAATTGTGACCCACAGCTGCATTTCCAGTAGGTCAATCAATGGTAGGTTTTAGAAGTGCTAGGTGGAGAGCAAGCTTTATAGTTGTGCATGTTTTAAAACAATGCTGGAAGTAGTGTGCAAAGTAATTGCAGACAATTTATGTTAAACCACTGCATAAGATATTAATTTTTTATTTATTTAACATATAGTAATGCTACGTTATCCAGGAAACTACAATATTAATGCAGAGTAGTAGTTTGGGTGCCTGTTTGTTAGCTCTGTTTGGTTCACACTTGTGCACTTCCCAAGGTGCACTACAGGCGGGGGAGCTAGGCCTGCATCAGAAAGAAAGATGAACGGCTTTCCTGCAGCAGCATCTTAGGTCCTCTCCCTCCACCGAAGCTGCCTCATAAATGGGCATCACAACCAGTAAGGTTCAGCACTGGCAGGATTCTGACCATCCACGGAAAATACCAGCTCATCTCCTCACCAAAATGATACCTATTTATCTACTTGCATAGAATGTGCTTTCAAACTGCTTGTGAGCTGAAGCAGAGGCGAGTGACAGCAGCTTACCCCACCATGCAGTGCTGGGACTCGTACTGCTGGAGCAAAGACCATCTCCTGCATCATTAAGCCACAGAGCCAACACGCCTCTCAGTGTATTAATTAGAACCTTAATCAGAAATCTTAATTTGAGATATTTATTTTAAAAATATATTGTTTCTGTGTTTAAAGTCTGAATTAATAAATGAAGCACTCATTCTGAAATTCCCAAGTCTAGTTAGTGTTCTAGTTGAAGACCAAGCTATGGTAACTTAACACCGTGCATTTAGACTACAGTAGTATACTCTACTTGGGACAGGTTTTAAAAAATATTCAAATATTCTTTGAAGAAATTTCAATTTGTCAAAATGCATTGAGCTACCTCTGTTCAGACTCCAGCATTGGGAGCATATTATACCAGTTTTGTAGATCCTGCTGTAATGAGCTGTGAGAGTAACCTTGGGGGACAGGAGGAATTGCTGAAGCCTAGACAACAGTCTGATAAATGAAACCTGAATTCAAATTGGGAATGGGAGCAGGAAAAGCATCTCTGAAGGGATCATCCCTAGTTCCTTGGAAAATAAATGTAGGGGAGAGCAGAAGTACTTTCAGACTTACAAGGTTCTCTTATTGTAACTTCACAGTAAATATAGTGTTAGTACTTACAGTATAGTGTTGTATTCCTGTCTGGGTCTTCTGGAAAGGCTGACACCTTAATTGGTTACTGATTGATTTTTGCGTCGAATTTAAAGTACTGCTCTCGACCTATAAAAGCCTACTAATTGTACCTTCAAGGTGAACTTTCGTACCTTCAAGGTGAACCTTCAGGATCATCTACTCCTATCAATAGACTCAACAATTAGTGCTACTAGAAAGAAACTACTGCAGATCCCACACTTACAGAAGGTTCAGGAGTTGAGGTGAGGCAGTATCATAGGACAGCCTATCTGTGGAAACCGGATTGGCTCCTTCTTTGCTGATCTTTCAGAAACTCCTGAAGCATCTGATGTGAACATTGCCATGTTTATATTAACTACTTTTATGTAGACTACATTACATGGGTTTTAATTTGGTGACATAAAAACATTAAGTATATAAAACAATATCTATCTATTCAGTCTGCTTAGGCACAGTGTAGTTTTCTGGCCTAATCTTTGTGCTAAAAAAAATCTTTGTGACTGACTAATTTACATTTACATGGCATTACAGGCAGTTCTCTCAATAACCTTTTCCCGTTCTCTGTTATTATCTTGGGAAAGTCAATGCTAGAAGTTTGCACACAAAACAAAATTGGATTTTAATTTAGCTTCAGCAGCACTGTTAGTTGTCTCTTTCTCTGCTCATACAAGCTCCATAACACAATCTTCTTTTGTACATTTGAAGCATTGTTTTTAAAATTGATACGGGGAAAAAAATCAATCTGCTTTACATCAGTAGATCTCAGGATAGAATACAGTTAGTGAAACATGACCACTTTAAACAGGTACATATAATACATTAGTAATCAACATCTTGCCTGCCCCAATTGATTTTCATGGGAAATGGTTGTGTAGGTAACAATGTAATTGATGAGGTTTTTTTCCACCTCTGTTATTTTAGGAGTCAAATCAGTTTCATTCTATGTACCACCTATCTAAGGTCATGAAACTGTTAAGAGGTTGGTAAGACCTCACCACAAGTATTGTATCTAGGTCTAGCCCAGGGGTCTGCAACCTTAAACACTCAAAGAGCCATTTGGACCTGTTTCCCACAGAAAAGAAAACACCGGGAGCTACAAAACCTGGGTGGGCATGGCCAACGTCACTCACTCGCACCCAGTGGTGGGATTCAGCCAGTTCGCACCACTTCGGGAGAAGCGGTTGTTAACTTTCTGAGCAGCTTGGTGAACTGGTTGTTGGAAGAGATCATTAGGGCAGAGAACTGGTTGTTAAATTATTTGAATCCCACCACTGCTCCCACCCAATCACATGACCCCCCCAGTCACGCCTACCCAGGTTTTGTGGCTCCCAGTGTTTTCTTTTCTGTGGGAAACAGTGCTCTCTCTCTCTCTCTTGCTCTCTCTCTCCCTCCGTCCCTCCCTTCCTCCCTCCCTCATCTCTCTCTGTCTCTGTCTCTCTCTGTCTTTCTCTCTCTCTGTCTCTCCCTCCCTCATATCTCTCTCTCTCTCTCTCTCTCTCTCTCTCGTGTATGTGTTCCCTCTTGACCCATTTCCAAAATCAGGCAAGGGTTGTTGTTATTGTTTTTTGCTGAAGTTGTTCTTTCTTCTTCTTTGAGTGCTTTTTACCATATGATTTAAATCAAGAGTCATTTCAGGTTCCCAGATAAAGCTCTTTCATCCCCCTGCTGTGGCTGCCTGTCAGCTGAACCCACCACTGGCTGGCTCCTCCCCTCACCCTCCCCTCCCAGTGATGGCGGCCGATGGAGATTTGCTCCATATTCCAGAGCAGAAGCGAAGCGCCCCTGTACTTGCCATATCTCAAAGGCTGTTGTTGGTGCTGCACACAGCTTGGTCTCTCGGGGAGACACACAACTTGCTCTCTGCCCCAAGACAGTGGCTCGGCCTGGCTGCAGCCGATGCTGCTACTGTTGCCACCTCCATGGCCTGCCTGCTGCTCTCAAAGCGCCTTGAGCGACACAGTTAAATTTAGCACATTTCACAATGGCGGAGATGGTGTCCCTTCCTCCTCCTGGAAACCATTATGACGTGGAGCATCAGCCACAGCCGGGTTGGGGCAGAGATCAAGTCGCATGTTTCCCCGGGTGACCGAGGTGCGCATAGCACTAACAAGGGCCGGAAGAAACACTTGTGAGATATGGCAAGTACAGGGGCGCTTCGCTCCCACTCTGGAATATGGAGTGAGTCTCCATCCCCTGCCATTGCTCTTATTTTCTCAGGCCAGGTGAAGAGTGACTGGGAGGGGAGGGCGAGGGGC